AGTTCAATGCCAAGAAAAACAGGATGGCTGCTTTGGACCGCCTGGCTCGCGGAAAGGGCGCCCTCTCGGACGAACAAACGGGGGGGTGGGGTTGGTTAGAAACGAACTGGGACGAACAGATGTGCAAGGAGCACAAGGAGCAATGGCCGTTGACGTTTGCTGGGTGGCTGCAGCGAGTCGCCAGCGACGCGGCGTCCGGGAATCGCTCGGCGTTGTCGCAGTTCGCGCGCTCGGAGACTGCGGGGGCACTGGGCGGGCAAATGGCTCCGCTGATTCCAGCCATAGCCCCTGCAAGCCGCAGTTGCGGACCTGGGGGAAATCCATCATGAGTCAAACTGAATGCAAAAACCGCATATGCGGACTTTCGAGAGGTGTTGTCGCTGCGCGCCCTGCGGACGGATGTCCCCAAGTTCGTTTCAATGCGTGTGGTGATGCGACAAAATTGTTTCCTCGCCCTCCTCCTGCCGCCCCCCCGCCCCCATTGCCTCCTCGTGCCATCCGACTCCGACATGTCCTTCTTTCCTCTCATCTCCTGCCATCTACGCCCATTCTCCTCTTGGGCGCGTCGGCAGCCACCGCGGCTCGAGGCGGCGCCCGCGCAGCGGCTCCCGCGTGGCCGCCCGCGCGTCCGGCGGCGGCGCCCGTCAGGCAGCGCCTGGCGATGCCGGTCGGAACTCGCTTCGCCAACGCGGAGCTCCTCCACGTGGGCGAAGACGAAGCCGCATCTGCGGCAGGTGACGAGGAAGCCGTAGTCGCGGAAGATGACGACGACCAACGGACGCAAGATGGCGACAGTGCCGTCGCGTCCTCGGCTGCGCCCGCTGACGAGGCGGAGCCGCAGGGAGACTCGGAAGCCGCAGCTGCGGCAACCAACGAGCCCCACGCTCCGAAAGTGCTTTCGAAGACGCGGACCTGGAGGCGGGCGCATGTCATCGAGACAAGTCGCGCGTCGGAGAAGGAGAGAACTGTCTACGAGGCCTGGCAGCAGAAAGCGCAAGGCGAAGCGGGGCGCATCAGCTGCTGCGCGGCCAACTTCGGACAGAGCGCAGGGAAGCCCGCGCAACGCAAAGACGAGTTCGCGCAGATCCACGCCAATCCTGCCCGCATCATCGCCCCGTGCGAGTGCGACGACGAGTGCTGTGGGGCAATCTCTGGGGGGGGGCGACGCACGCGAGAGCACAGCCGCAGTTGCGGGCGAGAAGTTCCAGCATCGAGCCCGATGCAAGTACTTGTGCGTCATTGGCCTCAGATTCCGCATTGGCGGCAACATTCATTGCGTGGGCTTTACGAGGCCCCTCCACAAGAAGGAAAAGTCCAAGCCGAGGAGGAACGAGAGATCCGCAGTTGCGGAGCCAAAGTTCCACAACAAGTACTCGAGGGCGACGGTTGCGCGCATCACCCTGGACGAGACGTTGCCCCATTTGGGGGAATCCTTCAACGCCATGGCGGCGCGCGTCCACCACAATTTGGCCAGCCAAGACTGGGGCCCGAAGAAACTCCATGAATTCCACGACTGGTTCGTCGAGTGCGTCGAGAACTGGGGCGTCAATGTCTGCATGGGGGACTTCAACACGTGCATGTTCCAGCTCGTGTCCCGGCGCCGCAGTCGCGGAGTCACGGTGGGCGTCGCTGCGTGGACCCCCTGGGAGACAGCAGGCGGCCTGCCCAGGGTGGGCAGTATGGCAATTATGTTCATAAGTTGCCTTGGGAGATACGAGCTTCGCCATGGCCTGGACGCCCTGCGCGACGGCCCTGACGGGTTCTTAACAAACTGCCCTGGCGCGTCTTTCCACGCCTTCGATTACGCGAATGGCCCAGGGAAAATGCTGCAGACTTACTTGCCGAAGGCTTGTGCCGTCGCAGGCAAGCTTCGCGACTTCGCGAAGCCATCTGACGCCTCCGAGGCCGCAGTTGCGAATTTCGACCGAAAGATGGCGCGCGGTGCACGGGGCGAGCGGGCGCCCCGCCCCTTCCGAGTCAAGCAGGGCAAGCTGGGCGACGCGATCCGGCACGGCTCCGTCGGCAAGGCGCGAAACGGAGCGCGCTTCCCCCTGGTGGCTTTCACCCGCGACACGGGCCGCGGGTCACCAGAGGAACTTGCGCTGAGGGACGAAAAGGAAAAGAAACGGCTGCAAGAGAAAGGCGCTCGCAAGGGCGGCAAGAAGGGCAGCAATAAGGGCGGCGACGACGGCGCCGCGGTTGCGGGGAAGGGCGCCCAGACCAACACTGCCCAGAAGGGGAACCGCAGTTGCGGTTGCTGAGCGACCGCCACTGCGACAGCCACGACGGGAGGCTGAGCGACCATGGGCACCGCAGTGGCCGCAGGCTGCCGACGGACACGAGGCGGCCACCTCTTATGCCGCAGTGGCGGCTGGGTCCTCTGGCGCCAGCGGAAGCGGCGCGCGGGGGGCGGAGGATCCCGCGAAGAGACGGCACGGCGCTTCCACTTGGGGCTGGGGCTGGGCGGAAGGGCGCGCTGATGAGTGGGAGTGGCGCGATGATGAGTGGGAGTGGTGGGATGATGATCGCGCCGCAGTTGCGCAATCTTTCAGCGTAGCGGCACGGGCCCTCACGGAGGGTTCGCCTCCTCAGCGTGATCGCGCGCGGGCCGACATGTCCGACCAGACGCAAAGCGCACGCCACGCGGGGCCGTGGAGCGACCTCGGCCCCTGGACCTACGAATCGAAACGTTGGTAATGGCCGCAGTTGCGGGCAAGTGCCGCAGTTGCGGGCAGTGTGTGACCGCAATTGCGGACAGCGCTTTGTCGGGACAAGTTGGCAACTAATCAGTAACGCCATCGTCATCTTCATCATTAATCGTCATCACCATCATCATCCTGCAGCTGCTGCCACCCATGTCGCCTTGTGAGGGAAGCGTTCAAAGCAATCTCGGGGGGCTGCTTTTTGAACCGTTCACAGCAGTCCCGGGGGACTGCTTTGAACCGACCTCGCGTCCTCATTCTAAGGGCTTCTGGATTATTCGACGCTAGTAATGTAATCTATACATCGCGAACCACAACTGTGACCAAGACTTGTCCTGGTCACTGTTCTGTTTCGGTTCGGTTGGTATTGATACTTTTATGAATATGAAAAATAATCATACCATCCGAGCCACAACTGTGACCAGGAGTGATCCTGTTCAGTGTTCTGGATTGGATCGGTGGGCATTAACACTATCTTAAATATATGAATGCGAACCGAGTCACAACTGTGACCAGGGCTGCTCCTGGTCAGGGCTCTGGTTTGGGTCGATGGGCATTAATAGCAATAATATATTACTAGTGCAACCTAAACCACAGCTGTGACCAGGACTGGTCCTGGTCACGGTTCTGGTTTGGGTCGATGGGCATTAATAATATTATAAATGAGTATCTGATAGTATGAGTGCAACCCGAGACAGAATTGTGACCAGAACTGGTCCTGGTCACGCTTCTGGTTCTGGTCGATTGGGATTACTAATTTTCTAACACTACTGGTGCAGCCCGAACCAGAATTGTGACGAGGACTGGTCCTGGTAACGGTTCTGGTTCGGGTCGATCAGCGTTACTCTGGTTCTGTTATAATAATATGAATGCAACCCGAGCCAGAACTGTGACCAAGACTGGTCCTGGTCACGGTTTTGGTTCGGGTCGATGCGCATCCGGAGAATTGTAATATTATTGATGCAACCCGAACCACAACTGTGACCAGGACTGGTCCTGGTAACGGTTCTGGTTCGGGTCGATTGGCATTACCAATGTTCTAACAGTGCTAATGCAACCGAACCAGAACTGTGACCAGGACTGGTCCTGGTCACGGTTCTGGTTCGGGTCGATCGGCATTAATAACATTCTCATAATTCTAATGCAACCCAAACCACAATTGTGACCAAGACTGGTCCTGGTCACGGCTCTGGTTCGGGTCGATGGGCATTCCTAATATTGATAGGATGTTATTGCAACCCGAACCAAAATTCTGACCAGTACTGGTCCTGGTCACGGTTCTGGTTCGAATCGCCTGGCATTAACAATATTGTAAGAATACTCATGCAACCGGAACCACAACGGTGACCAGGACTGGTCATGGTCACGGTTCTGGTTCGGGTCGGTTGACATTGATACTGTTCTAATGTGTCAAATTTAACCCGAACCACAAGTGTGACCAAGACTGGTCCTGGTCACGGTTCTGGTTCGGGTCGATGTGCATTACGAATATTGTAGAAATACAATGCAACCCGGACGACAACGGTGACCAGACCTGGTTATGGTAATGATTTTGATTTGGTCGCGTTCTTCTGAATGTTTTCGAATAGTGTGTCCTGACCAGGACCACAACCAAGACTGGTTATGGTCACAGTTATGGTTGCGAGGCATTAGTATTATTATGTTACTACTATTAACCGCGACCATGACTGGGACTGGTCCAGGTATGGTTCGAGTCACAATATTGCACAATCGTTGAATAATGCGCATCGTAACTGTGATTTGTTCTGGTCTGAGTCTGGTTCTGGCACTACCCCAACTATCGGATAATGCCAACCTCTACCATAACCAACACTTGAACCTTACTGTGGCGTGCGTGCGTGCGTACGTGCGTGCGTGCGTGCGTGCGTGTGCGTGTGAGTGTGTGTGTGTGTGTGTGCGTGTGTGTGTGCGTGTGTGTGCAAGTGTGTGTGTGTGCGAGTGTGTGTGTGTGTGTCTGCGTAGCGTACCTCGTCGGCGTCCCAGTCATTTATGCCCAGAGGCCAGTGGGACGCCAACTGTGGCTTGGCCATGAATACTACCGCCGCCATCCTCACAGAAGGAATCCTCCAGGGTCTGAAACCTCCTGGGCACACTCTTTAACGAACGCCCCCGCCGTATACGTGTAGGCGCATGCGCACAGACATGCACATGGACGTGTGCGCCAGGCGTCGCCATGCTCTGCCCTGCAACCACGAAAAGATGTACGGTTCCCGATCCAGGTGCATATGTCATGTCTTCAAGACGCTCTACGCAAACCAACCGAACGCATCGGCGGTCCTGTCCGCGCGTGCGCAGGGAGGCGCACCGAGCCTACCTTCCTGTCCTTGGCGTCGTCGGCGAAGCTGCCCCCGCGCGACGCCGAGATCAACTCCGTCCCCATCTGCGACAGCGCCCCCCCCCGTCCGGCCCTCCTCCCTCCTCGTTCCTCCTCGTCCTTGCTCTTGCCTTGTTCCTCCCTCCTCGTTCCTCCTCGTTCCCTCCCTCCTCGTCCCTCCTCGTTCCTTCTCCAGCCCTATTCCCTCCTCGTTCCTCCCTCCTCGTTCCTCCTCGTTCCTCCCTCGCCGCCGCTCCTCTTCCCCCATCATCTCTCGTCCTCCGTCCCACATCCATCGTCCACGCTCACCCTCCCTCGATGTCCACCCTCCAGCCTCGTCTTCCTCCTCCTGCTCCTCCTCCTCCTCCTCAATCCCTCTTCCTTATAAATATCTCCTCCCTGTCGCACCCTGGAACGTGTCGGTAGGGCGGGCCGGGCGTTTCGCCTGAAGCTTAATAGTTGCAAGAGCGTCATGGATGAAGGGCGGGTCGTTTACATAATGCTGCTCTCGCCTTAGCGCCGCGCACACTCGTATTAAACCATTGCAGGAGCTTCACGTTTGGAGGGCGGTACCTTTTCAAAATGTGGATCTCGCCTTAGCGCCGCGCACATTCGCCTTCAGAGTCTATATCAATTTCAAGGATTATTATGGTTAACGTCTCAGAAAGTATGTTTTGGCACGGTGTAGGTCTGCCAGGGCGCGGCAGCTACGTTGTTTCACGTTGTCGAAGTCCCTGGAATGGTGTTCTAACACCATCCAGGATCGTCAGGACGCAGCAGTAACAGTGATTCGCGGCGATGGAGTTCCAGGAATAGTGGTCTGGCATGTTTCAGAATTTTCGAACGGTTGTCTTCCAACGGGATACTCTCCCTAGTGTAGATGAAACCTTGTAGGGGCCTATGAAGAGGAAACTTGGATGAGTTTATTGTAGCATCGTTGATGAGTCTTGGGTTTACCCTGGGCCTCCTCATTTTTCCTCTTCCTCCTCCTCCTCGTCTTAATCCTCTGCATCTGCATCCTCCTAATTTCGATTCCTCCTTCATCCACATTGCCCTCCTCATCATCCTCGATGTTCTGCTCGTCCGCCGTTTCCTCGTCCTCGTCATCATCGGCACTCTCGTCCCCCTCGTCCTCGCCGATCTCGTCCGCCCCCTTCTCATCTCGTGCTCTTCATTCCTATACTTTTCCATACGCTCCGCCTACAGCGTTACCTCCTTCACCACCCTGTCTCGCTCGTTAGCTAATTTTGTTACGTGCGTAATCCGATTCGCCAGAACCAGCTGCAAACTAAGGATTTCGTGTCCCCATTTACTTAGCTCCCTCCAACTGTGTCTGACCCGACAAAAGTCACTCAGTCGACAGGCTACGTGTTGCAGAGGGGATGAGGAGGGGCAAGAGAAGCAGTGACTTCAGATGGGCCGCCCCAGACATGGGGCCCTAAGGAAAGAGGGCCCTGAACCATGCAAACTCACTGCCACTGGACCTCTCCTGGAGTGCGTTCTGACCAAAACCCTGAGGCCACCCCGGCCGCGGAGACAAGGGAAATGTACTCCGAGCCCCTCAAGAAGCGCCGGGGGGGCGTCACCCCCGCCGACAGCCCCACCTCGAACCCCGTCGCGGGCAGCCACCGCGCGCCGAGCCCCCCGTCGCGGCGCGACGACGAGGCGAGGTCGACCTAGGGGGGGTACCCCCCCACGCTTACTAAGAGCCCAGAGTAGCGGTGTCGGTACCTTCTCCTCTGCTGCACTCCACCTTGGAGCCGCTTCCCATCACTACCCACACATCCGCCAATGATAGCTCGTCGATCCGCGGCCCCCGAGGGTCCCAAAAATCCCGGATCCAAATTTTGACGGTCCCGGAGGCCCGAGGATGGCCCCCGAGGGCTGACATCGAGGAAAGCCCACCAGTGCAGAAAATCTCATCGCCGGAGATCATCGGAGATCCAGGCCCGCGGGGCCCCGATCCCTCGGGGCGAATCCAGCCGTGGCATCGGCATCTCTTCCTCTTCTGACTCGAACATTCGAGCCACTTCAGCTTCGTGCTCTTGTTCACCACGTGGACCCCCGATGGTCTATAGACCCATTCCCTGGGACGGGATTGTCATCTTCAATAGCTTTGTTGACCGTCCCTGGGGGAACCAAAAGGTACAGATACCGCTACCCCCGGGGCCTCTCCTGCGTCCTGGCCAGAGTTTGGGTGCGAATCCAGCCGTGGCGACGAGGGCCTCCCAGGATGCCCCAAAAGGCGAAAACCAGGAAGGGTAGCGGTATCGGCACTATTTCTAACAGACGCAACGGCCGAGCGAAGAGTGGTCGCGCACAAGACGCGCACAAAACGACTTGTGCAGGAAAACGAAGCAAGAGAACGCGAGACGACGCCAAGAGCCCAACATAAGAGCCCACACGAGACCGCACAAGGCATCCCGCACAAGACCTCGCCCAAGACCTCTCGGACCACTCTTTGTGTCAAAAACAATACCGTTTCCCTCCTCCGGGCCCCGGCGAAAATCCTCCGAGGACCGAAAGCAGCAAACAGCCGTCCGTCGTGATGTTTGTCACGGTGCGAGGGGGTCTGGGCACGAAGGGGCCAAGCCCTCAGGGCCCCACCTTCGAGCCCCCAGAGGCAGGCGGCCGAGCAAGCGAGAGGAGGATCGAGGATTATCAAGGAGAGGATCGAGGATCGAAGATCGAGGAGAATCGAGGAAGAGGACCCTGAGACTGAGAGCCAACGTTGCGAAAACCCTTCAAAGTCTCGAAAGATTGCGACCGGAGCCCGAGACCCCATCTTTCTGCTGCATTTTCCGGCGATTCCGACGGGAGCGGTTTGCCAAGGACGTGGCATTGCAACCAGCACTCTGGGGCGGCGGGCGAAGACTTCGACGGAGCTCTCCGCCGCGCCCCGAGGAGGCCCGGCTCGGACAGCGTCATGCCCCTCAGGCCCCATCGGCGCCGATCACGAACCGCACTCTGGCGTAACCACAGCCTTTCGAATTGCCGAGTTGTTCGACCCCGATCGATGTGTGATGGTCCCAGGGCCCGCAAATCAGGCGAACAGAACAGAACAAAGCCGTACGCCCAAAGGCGCGTCGGCAGGCGCTACATGATGAATGAATTCAGACATATCAGAGAAGGAAGGACGCACGCAGGGAGGGAAGGACGCGCGACGAGCGGGGACGGGAGGCGAGGCGGAGCGAAAGAGGGACGAACGACGAGGGGGGACGACCGAGGAAACGCGAAAATCAGGCGAAGGCGTCTAGTATGCGAAAAATCAAAACATGCAACGCCTGGATCTCAAGGGGGGAGCAATATCGAGGGCCGACGAAGAGGACCGATGGAGGAGCGCGAGATCGAAGGCCTGGCCATCGCTCGGACGTCCATTCCCTGTGCTTTTGTTCGGTTTCGTGCGTGGCTTTTTCGCCAAAGGATCAAGGATGCTCCTCGATGGTCCTCGCCGATGGAAAAAGGCACACGTCCGAGCGATGCCAAGAGGCGGCCGCACGAGAAGGTCGAAGGCGGCCGCTGGCCTCGCTCCGAGGGCGGTGCAGGCTCTGGCTCTCGGCGCTGGGGCTGGCGGCCGGGTTCGGCACGGAGGCCCGGGAGCCCTGGGCGCGTGCTCCGCTCGGTGGCGTCCACTTGCTGGCCATCGCTCGGACGCCCATTCCCCGTGTTTTTTCTCGGTCTCGTGCGTGGCTCTTTCGCCAAATGGTCAAGGATGTTCCTCGATGGTCCTCGCCGATGGAAAGAGGCACACGTCCGAGCGATGCCATGCGTTGGGGGGGCGTCCATGAGGGGGGGTCACAGACCATGACTGGAGGCATGTGCGCGGGCAAGGGGTGTGGGGTCACGGGGGGCGTCTTGAAACTCGCCGTCCCAGCGGGCCAAAGGCGTGCCAAAATCTCAGCTATAGCTTCAAGCTATCCGGGAATGTGCAGTTCACAAGCTGCTTGTGAACTTACCTGCGCTTAACAGGGGGTCTCGGGTCAGCCGTGCCCGTCGCTTCCCTTCTTCCGTGCCCTGAAGAAGAAAAGGAGGGGGGAATGGGGGGAGAAGGATGAGGAGGAGTGAAGAGGATCGGGGGTATCGGGTCAGCGCGCCCATCGCTTCCACTTCGGGGTCCCGCGAGGAGGAAGGTGGTGGAGGAGGAGGAGGAGTGCGAGGAGGAGGAGGACGGGGAGGATAAGGAAAAGGAGGAGGAGGAGGAATCCTGTCATCGATCCCAGGATAGGATTGGTGGAAAAGCTCCCTGATCACCAGGTGAGTCCACATGATGATGATGACGATGATTATGATGACGACGCGAGTGATGATGTGCTACGCAATGTCATAAACAATTGCATGCATATATACATCATAACCACCATGACCATCATCTCATCGGTGCCTCGGCCCCGCAAGGCGCGGCGCGGATCATATGTGTGCATCTGAACATATACATAAACCGATGCCAATATTCATACATACCAGTCACCAACGATGAACGAGCCCCGCACGCAACCTCGCCCCGAAGTGATCCAAAAACGATAGCCCCAGTTGCGGAGTCTCGTATTGCTTCCCGCCTCAATCCAGCACGCCCCTCACACGTCGTTCGCTCCATAGGGGGGCTCCAATTATGGTCTCAATGAGTAGCTCACATGGCGTCTTCTCCGCCTCAATTCGGCGCACCTTCACGCGTCTCTTGCCCCTATCCAGGTGGGGGATGCCGTATGGCGCCCCCGCCACCATTCGGCGCACTCCTCACACGTACCGCGACCCATAGGGATCTAAATTTAATTTACAGCTCCACTAGGGTTGCGCGCATGGCGTCCCCGCCTCAATCCCCCCATTACACGTTTCGTGCCCCATAAAAGGAATACCAACTATGGCCCCCATGGCGTGGCGCGCACGCGGTCCCGGCCTCAATTCGACACTCCCTCACGCGCTTCGTGCCATCTACGGGGCTCCAACTACAGCCCCGATGGGGGAGCTGGCATGGCGTCCCCCCGAAATGGTTTAACGACGCCCCTCGCCCGCAAAGTGCCCCTAAGGGAGGCTTACCTACGGCCCCATTTGGGGGCTCTCATGACGTCCCCACCCCAACCACTCACACACAGATAGGCGCCCAGTACGGCGCAATTGGGGGAGGTCGCATTGCGTCCAGGCTCATTCGCATACTTCGCACGGGTCGTGCAATGTAGGGAACTACGGCCCGAGTGTGGTTGCGCGCATGTAGTCCCCGCTTCAATTCGGCATACCCCTCGCCCTGATCGCGCCCCACAAGGGGCTCCAGCTACGGCCTGAAGTGGTGCCGCAGGCATGCGGTCCTCGCCTCAAGTCGCCACACACGTCACATGGGCCCTAATTATAGCCCCAATTGAGGAGCGCGCGTGGCGTCCCCGCCTCATCTCGGCGAACCTCTCACACGTCTCGTATGGCCAAAGTGGGTGAGCTTCCATGGCGTCCAGAGTCCCCGCGTCAAATCGGCACACTTGCACGTGTTTGGCGCGCCATGTGGCTCTTCACTTACAGCTCCAGTGGTGCTTCTTTTGTGTGCACGGCGTCCCCGCGTCGATTCGACGCACATCTTATGCGCTTCGTGCCCCATAGGGGACCTCACTACGGGAAAGTTAGTGAGCTGGCATGACGCCATGCCTCAATCCAGATTCAATGTTCCCCATACCGCCTCGCCAAGATATGAAGAGAGGGCCATCCTTGCGGCGCGCGCAACTGCTGGGCACTTCGCAACATCCACACTGGGGTTCTTGGTATCTCTGCACACACACCGTGCAATATATCGCCTCATCTCTCTCTTCCTCACCCTCGTCGAAATCATCGTCATCATCATCATCAGCATCATGGTCATCATCGCGGTCAGAAACAACATCGCGAGGACATCCTTCTCTTCCCTTAATCAGCCCTACAGACTTTTACCCTACAGACCCTGACCCTACAGACCCCAAACCTACAGGCCCTAACCCTACATAGCCTAACTATACAGACCCTACTAACCCGACAGGCCTTAACCCCACAGACTCTAACCTCGCATGTCTAACCCTACAGAGCTTAACTCTTACCCGAACCCTACAGACCCTACTAACCCTACAGACACCAACATAACACTACATACCCTAACCCTACATACCCTAACCCCACATACCCTAAGCCTACATACCCTAAGCATACAGCCCCTGCTAACCCCACAAAACCTAAACTTACATACTCTAACCTACAGACTCTAACCGTACAGCCCCTAACCCGACAGACCCCTATACATACAGACCCTGCTACCCTACAGGCCCGAACCCTACCGACTCCAACCCTACGTACCGTAACCCTACAGACCCTAACCCGACATGCCCCATCCCTACAACCCTCCCAACCCTACATATCCAAACCCTACGGACTCTAACCCTACATACCCTAATCCTACACTTCCCAACCCTACAGACCCTAACCTCACATACCCTACTAACCCGACAGACCCCAACCCTGCATATTCTAACCCTACAGAGCCTAACCCTACATACCCTAGACATACAGACCCCATTCCTGCAGACCCCACTGCCCCTACAGGCCCGAACCCTACATGTTCCAACCTCAGACCCTAACCCTACAGACGTTCAGCCTACAGAATCGGAACCTTCAGGCCCCACTAACCTTAGATACCCGAACACTACATACGCTACCTCGACATATCCTCACCCTACTGACCGGAAGCCTACACACCCTGACCTTACAGACCCTTACTAACATACCCTAACCGAACAGACCCTAATCCTACAGACAGTAACCTTGAATACCATACTGGCACGACAGGCCTTAACCCTACAGACTCTAGACCTACAGACTCGAACCCTACAGGCCCTTACCCTACAGGCCCTAACCCGACAGACTCGACGAACTCTACATGCCCTAACCCTGCAGACTCTAACCCTACAGACCCTAGCCCTACACACCCTAACCTTACAGACCATAACCCTACATACCCTACTAGCCTCACAGACCCCAGCCCTACATACTCCAACCCTACAGACACCACCCTTACATATTCTAATTCTAACACTACAGACCCTAACCTTACATACCCTAACCCTACAGACGTTAACATCACAGACCCTAACCCAACTTACCCTAGCCTTGCAGAACCTCGCACTACATACCATAAACCAACATACCCTACAAGCCCTACTAACCATACAGGCCCTCACGCTACATATTCTAACCCTGCAGACCCTAACCCGACATACCTGAACCCTACAGACCCTAACCCTACAGACCCTACTACCCCACAGGCCCGAACCCTGCAGGCTCAACCAACAGACCATATGCCTACACACACTAACCCGACATATCCTAACCATACAGATCATACTAACCCTGCAGACCCTAACCCTACATACCCGACCCCATACAGACCCTAACACAGCATACCCTATACATACAGACTCTACTAACCCTACCGATCATAACCCCGCATTTTCTAACCCTGCAGACCCAAACCCTATTGACCCTGCTAATCCTACATACCATGACCCTGCAGGCCCTAACCCTACAGACTCGAACCCTACATACACTAATCTACATACCCTAAGCCCTACAGGCCCCAACCCTACAGACTCTTACCCTACAGACCCCAGCCCTACAGGCCCTTACCCTACATACACTAACCCTACAGACTCTACTAACCCTACATACCCTAAGCTTACACACACTAGCCTCACATACACTAACCTTACACACCCGAACACTGCATGTTCTAACCCTAAGACCATACAAACCCTATGGACCCGAACATTGGAGACTCTAGCCCTACATACCTTAACCCTACAGGACCTACCCCTACAGACCCGACGAGCACCACAGGCCCTAACCCGACAGAGTCTAACTTGCAGGCCCTAACCCTACATACCCTAACCCTGCAGACCCTACTAGCCCTACGTACCCTAACCCCACAGACTCGAGCCCAACGGACCCTAACCCTTGCAGTCCTAACCTACAGACTCTAACCCTACATGCCCCGAGAACCTTACATACACTAACCCGACATACTCTAATCCTACATACCCTGGCCCTATACACCCTAACCGTACAGACCCAAACCCGGCATACCCTACTAACCGTACAAGCCCTAACCCGGCATACTCTAACCCTACATACCCTAACATTGCAGACCCCGCTAACCCTGCAGGCCCAGACGCTACATACTCTAACCCTACAGACCCTCACCCTACAATCCCTAACCTTACAGATCCCTATCCCGACATACCGTACCTCTGCTAACCCCACAAACCCTAGCCCTGCGAATTCTAACCGACAGACCCTAACCCTACAGACTCTAACCCTACAGACCCTACTAACCGTTCAGGCCCTAACCCTACATACTCCAACCCTACAGACCCGACCCCTACAGGCCGTACCCCTACATACCGTATCCATTCAGACCCTACTAACCCTACATACCGCAACGCTACATACTCTAATCCTACAGGCCCTAACCCCACAGCCCCCAACCCTACAGAAACTACTAACCCTACAAAGCCTAACCCTACATACTCCAACCCTACATATCCCAACCCTGCAGATCAAATGTACATACCCTGGCCATACAGACCCTTGCCCTAACCTA